ACTTCTAAAGAAGTGGCCAACCCATGTTTCTAGAATTCCAGTAGCCATCAGACAGGTGACACAGAGTAGCACTAGCCCGTCACAAACTAGTCCTATCTTGAGCAAGGATCATACCATGCCTGAAATAGAAGACGACGTAAAAGGCTTCAGAACAAGGCAGCCACAAGCAGTTCGCCACAATCCGTAGCACCTTATTCATGGAAGGAAGGCTGTATTACGACACCCGATGGCTGCAGTGTTTGCACCAAAGTTGTTTCGGTAGTCGATGAGGCATTTGCATGCAACCTATGTCAACGATGGGCGCATTGCCACTGCGACACCAAAGTCCCCCGACAATACTATAAGCTGATGAAGAGACAACCATGCAAGTGGTTCTGGTACATCTGTCCAGAGTGCAGGAAAATGCCCGCACTCCGCACAGAAAGCCTGAAGGAGATGCTCTCCGCCACGCAAAAGCTACCAGCATCCTCGAATAAAGTAGGGTTAACACCAAAGGATAACACAGAGAGACCTGGAAACAGACCTAGAGCTCCAGCTGTGGGCACGCCACCTCGCGTGGGGACCATATTAGGTCAAGTCTCCATACCTCCTACCCGGCCCCAGGGGACGTCAAGCGCATGGCCAAAGACATCGACCGCTGAAGCCTCTACGAAACCCATTCCGAACACCCCACACACCGTGACTGAGAAACAACCAGTGGAATTACTCAAACCCATTGGGAAGTCGGGCGTGCCACCCACAACGAACCCAGGTCACAGGAGGACCAACTCGATCATTTTGTTCAACGTCGATGTATCGACAGACTCATTGTTGGTCGAGAGGGAACGGTTTGACAGCCGAATGTGGACCGACTACTGTCAGATGCTGGGACTCCCTCCCCTCCCTGCAACTTTGTGTCGCCTTTCTCGAGGAAGCCGTGCACCCCGAGATAAGCCACCCCCTTTACGTGTGTCCCTAAATACCGCCAAAGAGGCTGAAGACACACTCCTCTCTCGCGACAACCGGACGTTGTTAATGCCTGTAAAATTCGGGCCAGGCCTGACAAGCCATGGTCAATAAGAGAGGAGGAGAGAAAGTCAGCGGTTGGAAATCCCAACAGAAACAACACTATAGTTGTACATGGGATTCCAGAATTGCCAAGTGACCGCTCGGTCAAAGATCGGTACTTTCACGACGTCCAACAATGGCAATGGCTCTCAACCAAAGTTGGTCTCAACAGTATACCGGCCAACAGCGTCAGTAGACTGCCAAGGCCAGCGCACCTGAAGACCATACCCAATCCCAGACTACTCGCCGTCCAGTTCGACTCATATGCCTCCCTCACAGACGTTCTACACGCATGGTATAATGCGAAAGATCGCATGGGTGGCTCAATACGTATATGTGAAAGTAAGCCTAGACCCACAAGGCAAGAGGAGAGACGGCAACCACCAAGACCTCTGGAGTCAGTGGTCGTCACACAGGCGCTGACCAGTGAGTTAGATACATCAAGTAAAGAAGCCACCACTGCCACAGCCCCCACCCAAGTTAAGAACAAAACACAAAAAACGGAACAATGCCAGTCCTATGAGGACTGGCGGGGCTAGACCCAACCACGTAAGCGCTCATCCCGCGAAAATACACATCCAGACCTCCCCTCTCATCAGGCACACTCTAATATGTATGTACAGCAACGTTAGGGGGCTAAGAGGGACATTATATTCATCACCGAATCCTGACTCTCATCGGACATCTCCGACGAAGAGATGCATGTTGCTGGCATGGAACTCTTCCGCAGGGACAGGGAACAGAGAGCAGGAGGGGGAGTGGCTATCTGCGTAGACTCCTGTTTAAAGGCAAGGATGGTTAGCGATACGGCCTTAACCCAGCTCCCAGAGTCTCTGTGGTGCTACTTCACTCTCCACCGTACCAAATACCTGCTCGGAGTCATATATCGGTCCCCACCAGCTCCCCTACACATAAGGAAATGGTCATCAAGGCGATCTTAACGACTTCCTCTGCAAATTACGATTCCGTAGTCATTGCCGGCGACTTCAACACCCCGTCCATCCTCTTCGAGACGGAAGGGAGACGCATCAGATCCTTCAATCAGAAGCTGAAGGATGCAATTAAGACTGCTGGCCTCTCAGAGAAAGTGGGTGATGCTACACGCTGGGGACCTAACGGAAACGCATCGCGCCTTGACTACGTTCTGACGAACGATGAACTTCTCATTGAGGACGTTTGCATCCAACCTCCCCTTGGCCTCAGTGACCACGCTGTAATCACCTTCTCCATGATAACTAGGGAGGCTCTGCAACTGGAGACGTCCAACACCTTCCCTTGCTACAGCAAGGCCAACTATGAGACCATGAGGGACTACCTCATGAATGCATCATGGCCAGTGGACTGGGCTCATCTCACAATAGATGAACACTGGTTGGAGGTGAAGAAAATAATCACTGGGGCCATCAGTCACAGTGTACCAGAAGTAACACACAGACAATCAATGAGAACCTCATGGTTAAAGCGTGGGACAGAGAGGCTTATCCAGAGCAAGAAGCAGGCTTGGTTCAAGTGGCGTACATCACGCAGGGAGTCTGACTTCTTGAACTACAAAAGGATTCGCAACCTCTGTAACATTAGAGTGCGTAACGACAGATTTTCCTATCAAACAAACTTGGCAGCGAGGTTACAAAGCAATCCCAAAAACTTGTACCGCTTCATGTCGAGAAGAAAGTCGACCAGTAAGGGAGTGAATCTTGTCACAGGCCATGACGGGAGTGTACTAGGCAGTCTAGAGATTGCCGAGCTTTTGAGCTCACACTTCCAAGCCCAACTCAGCACTGACACAAGATCCACACCGACTCGCTACGACACCGACCAGGTCGTAAATAACGAATACCTCTGTCACGTCTCTATTACAGAGAAAAAGGTGTTCGAGAAGCTATCTAGGCTACGTCCGGGCAAGTCCCCTGGCTGCGATAACCTAAAACCAGTGGTTCTGAAAAACTGCGCCGAGGTGCTTACTAAACCACTTCGCAACCTCTTTGAGCACTCAATAGACTCGTGCAAACTCCCTAAAGAATGGAAGAGCCCATCTTGTCACCCATCTTCAAGGGAGGAGACAGAAAAAGCCCTGGCAGCTACAAGCCCAGTGTTGGAAAGCCTGGTAGCTGACACCATCTGGGAATTCCTCAATAGGAAAACACTGTCCATACTGCTCAGCACGGCTTTCGGAGTGGTCGCTCATGTGCCACCAACTTACTAACCCCTGGGACGACTGGACACAAAGCTGGGATAATAGAAAACCTGTACATGTTGTATTTCTCGACCTAGCCAAAGCATTTGACAGTGTCCCACCCACAGTACTGCTTCACAAGATCATGTCAGCTGGTATAAGTGGACCCCTACTCTCTTGGTTCAAGGAGTACCTGGAAGGGAGGCAGTTCTGCACTAAAGTGAACAGAATAAGGTCGGAGTGGAGACCCTCGACGTCAGGAGTATCCCAAGGAGCAATCCTAGGACCGCTTCTGTTCCTCCTGTTTGTCAACGATCTGCCAGACAAAATATCCTCACCCATCCTCCTCTTCGCTGACGACATAAAAATTTGGAGGGTGGTAAACGAAGAAGCTGATTGTGCAGCACTACAAAAGGACTTGCAGCAACTCGAGCTCTGGTCGTCGGAAAATGGCCTGAGCTTCAACCTGGAAAAGTGCAAAGTAATGCACATCAGTAAAAATGAAGCAAGTACGACCGACTTCCAGTACATGTTGAGCAACCGTGCTATCACCAGAGTGTCCATGGAGAAAGATTTGGGGCTCAACTTCTCCGACACCTTGGACACCAGCTCCAACTACAAAGGTATGACAACCAGAGCGAACGCCATTCTACACTTTCTGCGTAGACAGCTTGGCGCCCTCACTCCCGAACTCTTCCTCACCATTTTCAAATCCTACGTGCGGCCGCACCTAGAGGTCTTCAATACGGTGGCTCCTCCAACACTCAAGAGAGACTCTAATCTCCTTGAAAGAATACAAAGAACTGCAACAAAATCAGTTGTGGGGCTAAGGGGAAAGACGTATCCTGAAAGACTTAAACACCTCAACCTATTTACCTTGGGTTATCGCAGGAAAAGGGGTGACCTCATTATGGCATACAAGATCGCCCATCAGGCAGACCATGCAAACAAATCAATTTTGCCTGCAACTCAACGATCTTCACGAGGAAACCCCATTAAGATAGCACACCAGAGAGCCAACACCATACTCAGGTCCAAATTTTTCTCCCTAAGAGTATGTGCTTTATGGAATGCCTTACCGCGACACATCGTTATAGCTCCCTCAGTCGACTCTTTCAAGAGGCGATTAGACAGTTATGTCACCTCGCATGGACTACCACGGACGTACTCAGGTAGTCACCAACCTCAGTAGCCCCCAACTCCCTCCTAACTACCACTCACTATCTCCTCCTTAATACACCCACATTACCTACTAATTCTTCTGTAGGAACCAAACCCACGCGACCATTCGGGCAATTCCCAAATACTTTTCTTCCGTTCTCTTTTCACCCCTCCTTTTCTTCTCCTTCCCTTTTCTCTTCCCTATATTATTATTTTTCCTCTCCTTTTTATTTTTTTATTCTCTCTTCATTCCTTTACCACTACCTTACTATTCTCTTTCAGGTACCTACACAGACAGGAGTCACGGCAGTTCTCTAAACTTCCAGCAACCCGTAGCTCCCTAATCACTCTACAAATTACAACCTACTAACCCACAAAACATCCACCTCACCGAAGCTAAAAGCAAGAAAGCAGAGGGGATTTCCTCGTCCACTGCAGGAGTGAACCGAACAACTCGAACCAAGCCCTAAGAACTAGACGCGAGAGATCAAAAACCTCCAGTTTTCTTCGCTCGCACCATCAATATTGAATATTGGATATTGGATTAGAAGTGAAGTCCGCAAGAACCATTAGGTTGCGTTACGTAGTCCACGTACTTTGTTTGGTATTTTGGCCAATAATGGTTAGTGCACCTCCAACGAAGCATGAAATAGTAGCCATCTTAAACAAGCTTAAGTCATTACCGTGCAATAAGGTAGATTTTGGAGACATGGCTCATGTTTTGTTCTCTAGCAATGCTTTGATTGTGGTGCTACTAACCCTACATGGGCTAGTGTGACCTATGGAGTTTTTCTATGTATTGACTGTTCGGCAGTTCACCGTTCACTTGGAGTTCACGTTAGTTTTATACGTTCAACACAACTGGATACAAATTGGACCTGGGTTCAGCTCCGTGCAATGCAAGTTGGTGGGAATCAAAATGCAGTAAGACTGTGTCTTTGTATTCCAACAGTTAAGTTATCTTTCTTCACACAAAATAGTTGTCGTTCTTTGGATGCCCAGGAGAAATACCGCAGTCGTGCTGCTCAGCTATATCGAGTTAAATTGGAAAAGTTGGCTGTTGAAGCCATCAAAAATCATGGGAACAAGGTAACGTGTTAAATGTATGCATAATTGTCTCAGTTGATGATTGAAGGGGAAGAAGACAAAGGAAGATGTAACAAAGTGACTGACTTTTTCGAGCAACATACTGAATATGCTACAGTTGATGATGTAATTCCTGACATACCTGTTGCTACTATTCCGCGTAAGTTATAGCCTTTGTTGTTTTTCGTGTTTTTTCTATCGTACAGTTCTAATATCCTTCATGGGAGGCAGATCCCGTTAAGTTTGTCTCTGTCCTGAGTTAAACAGTTGTGCTTTATAACTATAACGTAACTGCCTAGCGAAAATTTGAAGTTTAATAATTTAAAGTTCAACAACGCATTATTTTTCATACAAAGCACTTAAATCTGTTACTTTTCTACCTTTCCGGCTGTCACAATTTATCCTTTTGGCTAGTATTTCCTATTTTCCATCACAAACCAAGATAATTTGATTAGTGTCACAACAACGAAATTAATGTACCATTGTACTATCCCTTGCTGTAATTACTAGAGAGAACGCGGTTTAAGCTATAGTTGGATTGGTAACATATATCACCTTTATCTTACATGAAATCCAATTTTAAGAAGGACATTGAGGATATTCTGAGGATAAAAGCCGAACTGAATATGAGAAGTAAGAAATGCAATCAATTTCTTGATTCTTTTATTCATGTAAGATATTAGAAACAATGATGAATATTTGAGCCGTTTTTGATCATCCTCGTACGTAGCATCTTGAAGGCCCTAAACAAAAATACTGCAGCTAGATTGAGGACTTACAACCATCTCTCTGCATCATTCCAAACAATTACCAGGGTCAGATACGGTAGTCCGATGTCGCCATCGATGATATTCTCCAGACAGCTCCGAAAGAGGTGAGTGGTGGCGGGGTAAACCTCCTACAAGGAAAGACTTCTCGACCTATGGTATCGTTTAACTGTCCGACAGATACAGGTCACCTTTGGCGCTGGCATGCTGCTAACCTGACTGGAAAAAATTGACTGTATGGTGCGAGCAGTTCTACTCTGCACTTTTGATGTTTAACCTCTGCAAGTTGATGATTTTCAATGTTCAGTCACTCCCTGTCTGATTTCTGGCACCAGGTGGAAACACTATGTAATTATTTTTGATTGCGCGCTTGGTGTTGAAGGTCTTCATTCATTAAACGAATTCATCTTGAGAAACCGGTTTGAGTGGTTTCGATATTTGTGACGAGTGTCTTCGTAGCAACTCCCGTACCGTAAACGTTAGTAACCCTGGAAGTGGTTGGAAGAAGTGAAGGAGGTCAGCATGTGACGTGGATCCGTGGGATGAATAAAGGGAAGTCGTTTCGGGTTACATAATCCTTCGACACCTGAGTGGAGCTCGGGAACAGCAAGCCCGAGAAAACCAGGTAGGCTTTAGACCCGGCCGCGGGTATATCGACCTAATGTTCACACTGCCAGGTTCTGCAACACAGGCACGCTTACCGACGCCCGACAATAGCTGTATTTCTCGACCTAAAGACGGCATTCGAATCCGTTGGTCGAGAAGTTTTATGACAATATCTCTCACTGAAAGGCGTGCCAAGTAAGTTCGCCTTTTCGAAGGCTCTCTACTCGAACACTTGAGGGTGTGTTAGAGCCTATGGCAAGATATCCGGGGAGTTGTACTCGTCGAGTGGTGTCCGTCAAGGGTGCCCACTCTCTCCATTCTTACTCAATTTTATCATAGGTATTCTTATAGAGGTCTCCCTCTCGTCACCTGACTACACGGGGGTTGACCTGCTTGCGGGAGAATTCTCGTTAGACCTAGAATATTCAGATGACATAATCCTGTTTGGTGAAGACGCTGACAAGATGTAGTCTTCTGAACACTGAGTAGCAATTTGAGAATGTTTGGGATGCGTTTTCCAACACCCTAATGCAAATTGTTTCTCAAGCATTGGTCTTCAACTGTGCCTCGGCTGACAACAGAGTGAGTGTAGTGGTTGAGTATGTCGACCACCTCACTTACCTGTGAAGTTGGATCAACCCTGGTGGCTCAGTGGCTGATGAAATTTCTGCACGAATACAAAAGGCTCGGCTGGCTTTTGCCAATTTACGCCGCCTATAGCGCCGCCGTGATTTCCGATTATCTATTAAGGGTCGCATGTACTGCACAGCACTCCACTCTGTTCAACTGTATGACTGTGAAACATGGCCATTGAAGTTGGAAGATATGAGAAGACTTCAGGTATTTGACCACCGTTGCCTTCGTAGTATAGGTCATATTCCGTGGTGTCACCACGTGAGTAATGCAGAAGCCAGGTGTAAAGCATTAGGGAGAAGAGGTAAATCAGTTGAAACGGTTGTGGACCTTCATTGACTGAGATGGTTGGGACATGTGTTAAATTTGCCTAGTCACAGACTGCCTAGTCACACAATGTGGGTTCAGGCTGGAAAAGGGCCCGAGGTGGCGAGACTGAAACATGGCATCAATGCATGAAGTCCACTGTTCGTCTGAGCCATATAGGGCGATGCAGACTAGATGATTGGGATCCGCGAGACAAGAGGAACCAGTGGTTGGAGGCTGTATATGATCCCACGATCCCTTGAAAGGAGTCCATAAGGCGGAGGAACTCTGACGATATGATATCACACTAAGCTAGCTGAAAACCGATATCAGCGGCGGTCATGCTGTTGCTTTCCTGTTCTCCGTTTTTGAGAATCGAAAGAAATGTGATAATGAGTTCCTAAACTGTTATCGAAAGTGCTTGTTTGATAATTTGTTAGTTTTTCCCTTGGTTTTCATTTTTCTGTGCGTTAAATGTTTGTGTACTTAGTGTTAATTATTTCGTTGAACGCATGTCTCGGTGAGTATATCGTGCAAAGTTCACCTTTTACAAGTAAATCAATAATACGAGATGATGATTGGAGATGGAATGTAAACCTTGTGCTGCAGGGTTGAATAAGAACTCGACCATAAAGCTCAGTTGTTATAACTTCAATTTAATTATTGAGACTTTAACTCAATAGTTGGTTTTAGCGCTAGGTTGGCAGATCGCTGCTTGTTTTATTTTTAATGCCTCCTTGTTTTTCATATCACATTTGACCATCGTTCAATTTCAGTAATACTAGTCTTCTCAACCACGACTGTCTCATGTCGCTATTCTAAAATGAATGGCTAAAATACTGAGAGCCATGGTTTATAGGTTTCCTGCAGATGGATTTCACGTTCACACTCACATTTCAATAGGTTTACTAGTACTAACCCACCTTTTTGACCATTTTAAGAAAACACCTTTTGCAGAGCGCATGAAGTGCGTATTGCTCGCGCATCTAGTGGCAGTGAAGTCGTTTTATTTGGTGTCTAACCTTTATATGTTCCTTCATGCTGCTATCGTTTTTAGAATACCTTCATTTTACAAAGTAAAAATCATATGGCTCTCAAGCTACTTTTGGAAATTTATGTTGAAGTAGTCACTGAACCTCGAGTTCCTTGTCAAATTGTTTACCAGTGATCAGATCTACAGCATTCATATCTGTGGCTAACTTATTCAGGCGATACATTTCCAAGTAACTTTAAATGTAGTTCGATCTGCTTGAATGTAGGTGACATTGCAGTGACTGTATCCATCTGATCTGACTCGTAACAGTTGTTTTTTGGGTTGGATTTCAGAAGTTGGAGTCCCCTTCGACTGCTTTCAGTTGCTTACCACACCACATAATGCTGATTTTCCCCTCTAGTTCCTTGTCTAGGCCACTTGTTATCTGGACATTGGCACAGGAAAATTTGTTGTACCCTTGAGGTATTGAATGTACAAACGAGGTACAGTAGTGCACCCTTCCAAGTTGCCTCAGTAGAATATCAAAGTGAAAAAAAGGGAAAATTAATAAAAATAATTATGTCAATAGTAAGGTACTAAAGGGAAAACGAAGTGAAGTTAGTGAAGACATGAAGTACATTTCATCAAAGTGGTAAATTGATGCTGCTTATCGTTAGATCTTTTATCTGTCGCTGAAATCAGCATTCGGTAAATATATCGTAATAGTAAATACAATGATCTGAAGCACTATTTTGTAAGGTATTATAGAGATATGCTATGGGAAGTGGTTCTAGTGAGTGCTTTATATCAAGCATGCTCTGGGAGCTTTTATTCTGTATAGTCAGATGATTACTTCGAGGAATAGTGCTTTCTTTCATTCACTGAGGAGTCGGTATTCTACGAGAAAGTTTTCCTAAGGTCGTGCTTATGAGGCCGAAATTACGACATTTCTACGTACTTGTGATCACGGGATCTTTTCCACTCACTAAAGCTTAAGCCAGTTAACTAACATCGTTAACTGTCGTGGTGTGGTTTACAGCTGAGTATGTAGAGGTATTTTTGTTTGCTGAGTTACATTATTACTTTTCATGAAAAGACTGAAAGTTGGTCACAAGGGCGGAGAAAGGTTCACTCTTTGAAGTCTCCTAAAACGAAAACAGTTTCGAAAACCTTGACTTTCAAATTCTTTTTCCTCTTATACACCTTTGTCTACTTTGAAATTGATGAAATATATGTTTATTCATGAGGCGAACAACATTTTAATCAGCAAAGAAATTTTTTCCAGTGACTCCATTATCAGGCTGTAGAGTCATATTTATAATCAGTAAAATACGACAAATGGACTAAGAGGTTGCTCAGTCAGTATATACATAATACAGTCGGTGTTGGCGGTGGGATTTGTTCAGGTGTAAAAACAAGAAAATGGATGACGGAATAAGGAACGAATCGATTTCAAGTGATGAAATAGGGGGTTAATTACTGTCAAAGAAGTGTAAAATGATGGCAATGATGATAATTAAATTGAAGTATACAAAGAGAAGTGGAATAAAATTGACAAACTAACCAAAATGAAATCGTAAGGTGTTCCTTGGTTTTTTCACCGGTGTGTGGTCACGCTTCAGGTTGACTTTTGAGTTGTCTGAAATGCGAAAATATAAATGATCGTGAAGCACTCAGCAATCACTTACACTGTCGTGCAAAAGGCAATGAACCACATCTTCTATATAAGTACTATTGATACTACTTATTTGCCTAATCCTCGGTAGGTGGAGCTGGGTTCAAACCTGTGCGTACGCCAATGAACCACAATTCTGAAATGGGAAGTATTAGTATTTTATTTCGTCATAATCAACGGCTTGGATTCAGCTAAGCAATAAAAGGCTTCATTTAACTGTTTTCGTCTGGTCGCTGATAATTTCAAAATGCTTGAAACTTTTCAATCAAACATTGGTGCTGGGCTCGCATTATTTGTGGGTAGGTATTTGACGATGCACCAAATATTCACCTGCTTAAAGGCAAGGATATATTTCATTTGTTTGTATTTTGGTTGACTCATAGTATTAAAGTTCACAATCTGCACCAGTTTCTGGAATAAAATACAACTCTACTTCATCCATATTCTCTTGCTAAAAAGTGATATTTTACCCCATTGACTATATCAGGTACTATGCTAATTGTTAGTACTGAGAACGATAACAAGTTTCTACATCAATTTTCGACCGTCATGATACTTGGACTCTTGTTACTAAATGTAAACGTTTGATACTCTCGATTAATACAACCACAATGGGAGTTGTTCTAACCATCTAAGGCTTCTCTTATGAGTAAATACTTTTCAGGGATCATTTTTCTTGAGCTACTGATCGTCTTTTAGTGTGAGTGGCAGCCGTGGTCGATGAAGAAGTCTATGTGGTGTATATAGAATTATAAATATATGCATACCAAATATCCGTTTGGGGTCATGAAACAAAGACTTTATATCCCAATGTGACATTTTCGATGATATAGAAAGATACATTTCACTTTGTATTCTGTGTAATCCGACGACAGGCCATAAACTTTACTGATGCTCTCCTCAGTAACTTCTTTCTTAAGCTTTGATTCATTGGTTTAGGGAGTTGACTTTCAACCAGTGGGTAGCGGATTCGAACACCGTTCCATTTATCAAGGTTTATGCAGCCAGGTGGTATCATTAGCCTTCATACAATAGGTGTACCTCACCGCCTGCTACATGAATGTTCACTAGGTTGCCGGGTGTTTTGATTTTTCAACTAGTTTCTTGGAAAACATTTTAATAGGGTACAACCGTTAAGAAATCCGATACTATCTAATTTTAATTAGTATTTTCATTAGTTCATGATAAGGGTGTTGCTGTACAGTTCTTTGCTTATGCCTATCCACATACTTATGTCATAGTGGTTTTAAAGCTCGCTATCGTACTTAATGTTAAACACCTGAATATCTTTTTATACCTAACAGAGATGGCTCCAGAAGAAAAGGCTATTGGCCCAACTGTTGATAATTTATTCAGTTCCCCGACGTCTGACTCCGTTCCCGCCAAAATACCCTCAGTAATTGGAGGTAGAAAGCCGAATACTACTCGGGTAATTTTACTCATATGTGTTTAATATTGTGGGTACATAAAAATGTAGATAAATTTAAGCTTCTTTTAAAGACTAAATGTCGTTCAATAGCTGTACTAACCTTTTATGATTGAGTAGAGTCGTAACTAAGTACCATCTAAAGTGTGTGCATGTTTTTTTCATTTCACTTTTTATTATTACTCGTTTTCCATCCTTTCTAATGTCTGCACTGCGTCATGTTTTGACTCGTCTCTTGATGTTCGTCTATCAAATATGTTTTTAGAACTCCAGTGAGCCAGACTGCTATTAGAACTGAGAGAATTTCGCATTTACTTACGCACTTATTTTCTTCGTATATCTTTTTGTGCTTTTAATCACTTGTAATTGACTACTTATTCTACGAGTGAATAACGCATTAAACATTTTACGTTAAAAATTCGTGAAACTATAAGTTTACCTCATTTCCTACTTCCTTATTGATTGCATTTCAGAATAACGATCTCATGTAGTGTCTGATTGCTTCTTCTTCACTAAATATTTATAAAAACGTTAGTCTTGCTGATGGTTTATCATCTTTGTAAAGTGGAAATATCCTATTTATTAATAATAATTTGCAGTTGAACACCTTTGAATACCATTTTCATTTATAGGCTGGGGGTCTCCTCAATTTTTTTCTGGGGTCCCTAAAATGCTCGCAATACGCATACGTAGTTCTTGTTGTACATGACAGGATATTTTCTGGATTTCAATGGTACATATGTTTTCACTCACCTGGAACATGCATGCTATTGATATTTCAAGTCTGCATTTTTGCTCGACTGAATAATTCATTTGTTTGGTGAAACCGATTAGGACTTGTAGGGCGCGGTACTTAGGTCGATTCAGGTGACAACAACGACCTGTTTAGTTTATGGCCTATCAAAATTCTTGCATCAAACATATCACATTAAATTGTTCTTTTAAGCTTGTTTTAGTCATGCAAATGTCAACAGATTGCGCTACGTACTGCTACGCATTAAAAAAGTATTCTATCTATCGTTTTCACCGAAGTTACGAGAAAACAGTACACGGCAGTCGATGCCCGAGCGCGCAACAGCACATCATACAACAGTGAACTGGAATAGTTCACTGGGACTGTAAATTTGCATACTGACTGAACAAACGTTTCAATAATCCTGTTAACAGAGCCGTTGTTAATGTTTTAAAAATGTACTATGGGTATACTGATGTGATAACACATTCTATACTGCAAACATAACTGTGGTGTAGAATGAAGCAAGTATGTTATTATTATTATTATTATAAGCCTCTACTACCAAACTTAAGGATGCCTTTCTATTTTCTTCCTCCCCTCTATATGACAAGGAACCGATAAACTAGGTGTTAACTAAACTTCAACCGGCTGTTACATATTACTGTCTACCATAATATTAATAATATTATTATTTAGAGATGCCATAATTCTTTCTCATTTGAAAATACTGTAAAGGAGTAAATTCGTTTGATAAATACACCATACCATGGCAAAAAATATTTTCTGGAATAAAGCGATCAGTATTATTTTTTTAAAGTGCACTTCCATTTTGACAAAGCCTGACCACCTTTTATGACTTTACTAAATTCGCAATAAAGTCTGGATAAATGATTGTGAACTGGTTTATTCCTAAGTCAGTCACCAACTGTTGCAGATAGCTTCCTCTAAATAAAGATCTATTTGTAATTGCTGTTCATGTGGCTGTAATAAATTTTTTCGTACTAAAGTTGTAAGTAGTTTTTTGTTAGTCGTCGTGGTTTTTATCCTCGCTATTATAGACCAATATTATACAACTACAAAAAGTAGACTCTCTCTCTCTCTCTCTCTCTCTCTCTATATATATATATATATATATATATATATATATATATATATATATATATATATATATATATATATATATATATATATATATATATAATTCTAACTGTAAACAGAAATTCGAAATTACTGCCATTCTACAGGAGGCGTTTCTGATTAATGTTGACCTATTAAACTTTGAAAACCGATAAATTTTTGACTGAAGTAACTTTTAATGTTAGGTATATCTTCACAGCTTTTTGTAGGCTCTTTTATAATTGTGGGTTTGGTAAAAGTTATACCCTATGGGAAATTTCATCCATTTTAAGGCCTAGGTGCTTTTTTGTAACTGGTGGCTCCGTAACCTGTATGTCGTATGATGATGAATCTGATTAGTATACTTGAATATGCCAAGATCCATTTCTTAAGGGTGATTAGGTTCGGTGTGGAGTCGTGGCCTATTGGTTTTGACAGTTGATTAAACATCTACATGGTAGCTAAGTTACATCATCTACTTCTCACTTGAGTAGTTTACTCTTCTGTGTTAATCATTTCATTTTAGTTGCACTATATGGCGATTTATGTGTGATATATTAGGCTTTCGTGTTGTACATAAACATGCATGCAGTGCTAAAAATGATTTCTCAAACAACGTTATTGGATAGTATCTTTTATAATTTTCTGAGTATCTAAGGTGATTATGTAGTTATTTTAATCTGATAAATTCCAACCTCTTCTATCATTTAGCCTGGGACCAAAAGGGGTGGATTGGGTGCGGCAAAGGTGAAGGCTGATTTTTCTGCAATGGTTTCAGCAGCTGAAAATGCTGATGCACAAAAGGAAAGTCACGCTCACTTGAACAGTCAAGATGAACGAGATCAGGGGAAAACTGATGTGGAAAGACTGTGAGTGTTTGTAAAAAATGTATATGTTCTGTGCTGACATACGTAGCAAATTAATTCATTTGCTGTTCTGATGATGCTATCCGTAACTTTAAGTCATGCAACGCAGATTTTTGAAAATCTAGTCTCTTGGCGTACATAGATACGTATAAGTATACTGTTTACAATCTTTCGTGTTAAATGTTCTTAATTATTTGGCTGATTATTCATTTTATTCACTAAGGTCACATCATATTTGATAATTTGACACCAGCAGACAATGAACTGGATTGATAACTACCACAATTCAAATGTCATTTCAGATTAGCGTTGTTTAATAATATTTTCCGTATTCCTGTAGCGCATCACTTCGCTTAGCTTATAAAGATATCACTGATGAATGCGAAAGACAAGATGCTGTCAATTTAAAATCTGCTGATCCACAACGAGCCAAACAAGCTGAACGTCTTGGTATGGGTAAAATTGGATCGAATAATAGGTGAGTGTAAAAAGCGTTTTCTTACTATCTGTAAAATTCGAATTACAGCTGTTCATAAATCAGTCATCAGAGCACATATCTTTTGAGTGAATAACAGCGGTTTTGTATTTGCTACGTTTTATATAAGTATTTTGGTTTGTTTACTACCTAACACCTTTAACATAAGCTCTGTGAAGGGCGACCGCTAATTATCAACTACCAGCAATACCTACATGTTCAGAAATAACTTTCACCTCTTCGGTGCTTGTAATAACGACCCATAGTGTATTAGTCATAGAAATATGAGTGAATGTTGGCAAAGAAGCCTGGTACTTTTTTATTTTCAGTGTGTTAGAAGACTTATTATTTCAGAACTTTATAGAATTTCTTAAATAAAACATGAAATATTATGCAATTCATTTCACACATCTGAATAAATACAGTTATGGATTCGCAAACATTGGACATTAAGTTGAAACAGGATAGAACATTAGAGTGGTGGATAGTGGTTAGCAGTGAGACCCAGGATGCGCGTTTCGTTCTATTTGGGACTCGTCAGCTGGATGCACCTACCTCCCAGCGAGCGATTATGTTCCAAGTAGGGCTCGAACCCAGGACTGATCGCTTCGAACACGAAAGCGTTATCCACTAGACCCGCAAGTCACGATAGCCACTTGTTGTGCGACGGGTATAGTTTTTGTGTTGTTGCTTGTATTATGCCGTCGTTGATTGAACCGAATTGATGGACCACTATCCATCGTTAATACATAATGGAAACACAAATAATATCAAGGTGTCCGCACACGAGCCCATATGCCAATAGAGACCGAGCAATTCGGTCCACTCAACGACAGAATAGTACAACCAACAAAACGATGGAAAATTGTTTTAAAAAAAGTCTGCTAATTTTTGAGACTATCACTATTCAGTGGTCTTAAACTATGGTAAGTTCAAACGGATTTCAATTTGTTACACACTTATTTTACTCAAAGTCGTTTATCTATACCAATGCACAACAGTCTCGTCTCAGAAGATAAGTCATTAACTGATGCACCAAAGTGGTTGGATCGCCTTTTCATATTTTTAGCATCCACTGCCTAAAATTTCGCTTGGTCGGGAAAATAGTGGAAGCCCTAGAAGAGAACTAAAGATTCACAAGAAGTCAATCATAAATATACGAAGAAAGGTGTTAAGGTGGGATTATTTGGGTAGTGTAATTCGTCAGCCAGATATATTTTATGATACGGAGATATGGTTCATCGGCTTAAGCACTCGACTTTCAAGTAAGGCATCTCACATATAAACGTGACTCCATTAGCTTCGACTTTACTAACTGAATAGTATAATGAGCTTGGATGCCTTATCTGGTCCGTAGCCCAGTATATTAATCTAAAAGAATTTACTTAGTTGTGTTACCTGTTTCTTATCCTATTATCATACCTTTCTTTTTATTTCTATATTATCCATATTTGATGTATCCCTTATTTAATAGTATTTCACTCTCAGTATCGGAATAAGAGACAACCGAGAATTGAGTGAGCATCTTTTGATATATCGCATTATAAATTTCTCGCTCATACATGGGACAGGTAGGACTTGATTGTTGATAGAAACGAAGGTTGAGAAAAGTAAAATTAGTGCTATGAAGGGAAATAGACTTCCGTGTTCCCACCATTATAATTTCAAACCTCTCAGATAAAATAGTCAAGTTATTCGTCTAGTGAGCAACTCAGCTTAGTTGAAGCACTAGCGAAAAACCGTTTAGCTTTAAACAAAAAGCATATCACAATCTGCAACGTAGTAGTAATTACATCTCAAAGAAAACATCAGTCGTAAGTGTATGTGAACCAGTCACTTTTGTGTCACCTGCGTGAATACTTTTCCCGGCTTTTGATTGATTTATAAACATCTGTATGTCCGCACTTAACCGTGACATCTGAGTTCTGATTAATTATTGTTGGGTATGTGTGTGTGTGTTCGTTAGTGGACTGACGTTTCGAGCTCAGATTTCAGTAACTGTTTGGCATCTTGATATCGTGACCACTGTGTCTGTTGTACGCAACACCACTCCATCTAGTCAACGTGGTTTCTCGAAATCAAGGACTTGTATAACTCGCCATCTTGACTCCTTTAACTTCACGACCATTATGCCCGACCGACACCGACAACAAGTAGTCCTTGTACTCTATCTAGACATTTCAAAGGCATTTGACACCAGTGAAGGTAGATTCACACACTTCAAAACCTAGGCCAATCACCTCCGGTGTAGTTCGAGGCAGTGTATTAGGTTCCCTTCTCTCTGCTTTATACGTCAATGACATCTACAAGTACTTTACATATGATGAACCATTCTTGTTTGCTGATGACCTAAAAGTTGCACACACATTCACCCATGATGATTTATCCCACTCCAAGCACGATTATAAAGGGAGCTTGATACAATATCTGCGTGGCCTGCCTCTTGGAAACTGCAGTTCAATACAAGCAAATGTGACTTTATTTTGGGACTAGTGATATTCATGGATTATCCAGACTGGAGTAGTTAGAGGTTCTTCACATTTATAATCTACCGGTTGAATGTCAAGTGTCTAAGTGATTTAATCGTGCTTATTCTTTTTACTTGTTTGGTCTTTTTGATGACACTGTGAGCCGATCTCGTAGGCGTTCCATACTGTTGGAAATATTTTTGAATGCTGAAACATACCTGTTATTTTAAAATTATCAAGTACTTTACATTTTTTCATTACTTTGCAGAGAAATATCTCACTCAGCATTTGCAAATGTTCAAAAGATTGAGCAAGAAAACTCAGCTCCTACTCACGTTTCATCTATAAGCTCAAATTTGGATCCTTTCTTTACCTCAAGTTATGGTGGTAGAGATCGTGACACAAATAACTTTTTTCCGTTCTGGGGATGATCATTTATTCGGTTTGTGACAAGTTTTATTGCTATGTGTATACCTTATTATCATTTTTACTTCTCAGACGTTTAGGGTTCCAGATATTTTTCCCCCGTTTTGAACCATCAGTTGAACTTTAAATAATTAAAAACTAGGACACTACTTGTCAACTGCATCCTAGTTTCCACACACTTTATATGTACCTAATGCTTTTTTGTCTATTCATCTGAAGCTTGTGATCCGTGGATTACCTGACAGATAGACAACCAAGATAGGAGGTGATATTGCTGCGTAGCGTTCCATGTCTTCATACCTCATCACTAACATGAAAGATAAGTACGGAAAAGGTTGTCAGAAGTGGTGGAAAGTCGTGAACATAGAACAAATAAGAAGGAAATGAAATTTCGGGTGATGATTGAGACGAAGATTTTGTATGGATGCATGTGGGCCATTACGATCAATTCCAAACCATATCAACCAAGGTCTTCAGCCACCGGTTTTGGTTGTTATGCGGACCCAGACCAGTATGTCCACACATTTTCCTACATGGTTAAGACTAGCAGTCAAAAACTTCAGGGTCTAATGTCATGTTACAGTTTGAATGTCTTTTGGCTTTGTCCATCTTGAGCATATTTCAGTCAACGGCGATGTGTGACGGGCTAGGCGTTGACCAGACATGCGTGACACATGTGTAATCCACTTGAGTCGATAAACGTTCACAACGTTATCAACTGACTTTCCTCTTCTCTCTGAAACTCTGTACCTGCCTTATGAGTTCAGCAAAGGAAAAACAAGTATCTCGCATCCGTACAGTTTACGTGGCGAATTGCTTTCAACTGTTCTTAATATACGATACTAGCCTGCGGATAGTTTTGATCAGAGTGATGCCTTCTCCAGATCATTGGTTTCTCAACACTTGCCAAACCAAAGATACCGTGATTGCAGTCATGGGAGTTGAGAGTTTTAAGAGGTCTCAAAAAATGGATTACGTAGAACAAAAATGACTTTTGAGAATATTGAAGCTGTCAAAGAATGAGATCAAACTTTAGGAACCATCGTTATTATCATTATTATTACGCCCTTACTTCTGATCGTGAATCTGCATATTGTTTCCAAGCTTCTTCTAATTGTTCTACTCCAAATCACGTAATTTATCTTAATTCTACCATGATGACTGAAACGTTTGCTCTTTCGAGGTCCTATTGTGCCTGAAAGGTCTGTTAGATAATGGTGAGACGAAAAGTAGTTACGGTTGTAGTGTGAATTGCTACGCTTTAGTGAAGATGCGAGTGCGATGTCGTATTGCTGACTGGGGTTTAAGAGCAGTAAAGTGTTTGCCTTGGATACCAGCAGTACCACACTCATGTTGCCTTCTCAACTAGAGAGGGAGGGGCTACAAAGGGTCGACTCCCAAATTGGCATACTGCCTGCCTCACGATTTTCCAGTTTCAGCAGTATGTATTTTCTCTATACGGCGTTAGGACAGTCACATCTGACAGTAACAATCCTCAAAAGGCTGTATGTGACAGGCTTCAAACAGATATGTCATCGTTCCTGCGGTCACTCAAATATTTTTCCCTTTCACCTACCTTAAAAAGAAATAGCTTTCAGTGATGTGGGCAGCCGAAGTGTCAACCGCCCGCACACATTTTCAACTCTGTCTTCTCTTTTGCCTTAACTTTCTAATACTTATGTTGAGCACCTTACACCTTCCCAATCTCTCGTTCTACAACCATTACCAACGATCAAAACCGTAGAAACCTCATTCCTAGTCTTATTAGACCGTGTCATCACTTTCATATGGGAGTTTTCAACATCTGAACTCTATGCCAAATCAGACAGTAGGCATCGCTCACCAGAACGCTGAAGTCTTTAGATGTGGATATGTCGTGTGTCTCTGAGACACGTATACGGAATCCGAGTGTGGTTGTTCATTTGGCGTTACCTGCCATATTAGTGAGTGTTCAAATTTCCCAGTGGTTAGCTTTCGTGAACTCGCCTGTTTGGGGACAGCATTGAGTTATGTATCAGAGAGTGCACTTCTCGACTGCATACCAGTAAACAGGGGTATGTGTGTTGTTCGACGGGATGGATCTATAATGACTAGGAAGGATTGTCAGGCCACCCGATGCTTGTTGGTGATCTCCACCCACGCACCCATCGAGTGCAGTCCGAATGATGCAAAGGATGAATTCTACGGGAAGCTGTCAACGTGCTATGGAGAGCAAACCATTCAGATGTAGTTATAATGGTCAAGTAGGGAAGCTGAGGTGATCCGATGGGCAAAGCACCTCGTTGGTATTTGCCGCGTCCTATGCCAAAGAAACGACGACGGCGATCGTGTGTTGGAATTTTGTTCCGACAGTCACTTGTTTCTGGTCAGCACTGGTTTTGAGCATAAGGAGATACCCTATCTTACATGGTGTCGGCCGACATGAAAGCAACGATGGACACGCATGAATCATATTACTGTAAGCCATCGTCGAAGTGGATCGGTGGAGGATTGTCGCTGTTTCTGGAGTCCCAGTTTTAACTGTGTTCACGCGGTAGTGTGGGCTTGTTTATATCTCGACGTTGCTGGTTACAGGAAACAGGCGATAGTAAAGCCTGTCTATGTTCGATTATAAGATGGAGATGCCAAATATGCATTGAGAGAGGAGTTAGCTAGGTATTTATCTGAAGATGACAGGAATGCTGATCGTGATGAAATCTGGTGTATTATTCAGTCTGGTGTGGAGACAGTGTTAAAGACAGTTGGTCACCTACACCCGAAGGTGTAGGATTTCTGCAACATCATCCTAACTGATTGATGCTGGAGGACTGATTGCAGCTAGCTCTGAGTATGATGAAGAGTGAAAGCAAGTGAAATGTAAGTTGATGAAGAGTCTTCGCAATGATGGCGAGCAGTGGTGATTGTCGCGAGTGAGAGAAATGAAGAAGGCATGATTGTTAGGCAACACCGAGTAACTGTTAAGTCTTATTAAGGATACCGGGAATAAGAGGATGATGTTGAGTGAAAGGAGTAGCGAGAAGGATGGTATCTTGATAAAGTGTCACTACTGCAGGTGGCTTGAATGTTGGGTTGGACAGTTTGAAGCCGAGTTCAACTGGGCAACAGCAACGCTTCAAATGCCCAACATCCAGTCTGAACCCGAATAGGACTGAGATGTGGGTCGTCGAAATTTCTTCCTGTGATAACCGTGGGGGACAAATGTGAGGCTGTTTGCAATAAGTTGTCTGGATGTTTTACACGGAAGTCTGGTGCGAGCATGTTCAGGGGAGTAATCAAAATCTACAATATCATAGATGTATATAACAGGTTGAATGTGGCATGGTTGATTTCATTGTCTAATCGCTGCGAGTTCCTGAAGAACCTCTAAGTCGACTTCCGTGTGGGACGTTGGAATTTCTCATTTGGAACATGCAGAGATTTGTCCAAATATAACTTGTATCTGATGACAACTTTTCAGTTGACGCCCAGTACTTGTGAAACTATCTGATCGACTATTTACCAGGATTCATTGACAGCATGGAGGAGCCAGTTTGACTATTGTTGGATCCAAGATCCTAGGAGCGATCGATATCTGATGCCTAAGTGGAGCATGAGAACAGCAAACTCGGGAAAACCATGCAGGTTTCAGACAGAGCTGGCTGAGGTTATATCAATTATATTTTTACCCTACGAGAGGTTCCGGAACACAGGGATGCTTACCAGCCAACGACCGACACTTGCCTTATTTCTTGACCTGACGACGGAGTTTGACTCTGTCGACCGTGAGGTGTTGTGTCATTGTCTGACTGTGCAGGGAGTATTGAGCAGGTAGGTATATGATGTGTATTGAATGTCTCTACTCGAACTGAAGCAGTTGTGTAATGGTTTATGGAGAGTTATCATATGAATTGACGTCGTCTAGTGGTGTCCGCGAGGGATGCCCACTCTCACCGTGCCTACATAACTTTTTTATAGACTTTTAATGGACATAATCTTAGTTATGTCTGACTTCACAGAGATCGATCTACTTCCCAGAGGTTATCTGGTTGACTTGGAGTGATTTGACGGTATTGTACGACTAGATAATGATGCTGAAAAATGTGGGGTCTTGTGAACGCGTTGAGTGGAAATCTGAGAATATTTGGTATGTGTGTCGCTGGTACCTGTCAGATGTGAGATGATGCCGCAGGACTGGTCTGCTGCAGGTACTCCCAGTTTGTTGATGGGGAGTGAAGTGGTGAAATGTGTCGACCAGTTGACTCACTTACGAAGTTGCATTATTCCCAGTAGGATGGTTTCTGATGAAATCTCAACTTGGATAAAGAAGGCCTGTTAGGCATTTTCCAATTCACGTCATCTGTGCCACCTGGTGGTGAGATATCCGACTACCTAATAAAGGAATAGTGTAGTGCACTGCATTCCATCTTGTCCTGTTGTACGGTTGTGAGACATGGCTGTTAAGAGTAGAAGACATAAAGGGATTGCTAGGTTCGGATTACAGTTTCATGTTGGGCATCGTTGGCATCTGGTGGAATCACCGTTTGTGACTAATGTTGTGTTTTCAGGGAGGAGTGCTAGAGAAGAAAGGCAAGTTCTGTTGATGAGGTTGTAGACTCGGTCGACTGAGATGGCTTGCGCATGCAAAGCTACCATCTAACTGGACGTGCCATGCTGAGGTAAGTTGAATAAGGTTGGAAGAGGATTCCGGGTCTTCAGACCAAAGGGTGACACCCGTCGATGAAACCTCTGACTGTTGGTCTGATCCGCGTTGGGCGATGAAGAGTTGCTGGTTAGGGTCCTGGAGACGATAAAAATCAGTGTTTGAAAACTCTTGGTAACACATCTGAAAATCTATCGCAGTGGCACAGATGTGTTCACTCTTTGACGTCTTCTGAAACTTAAATCTGTGCACTAACCGCTTTCTTCAGATTTTTTATTCTCCTACTATTTTGTCTACTTTGATATGACTCTTATTCTATCCACTTGTTCATTGCATACTACTGTGAACTGTAGCAACTTGAAGATATGAACTTAGGTGCAAGGTTCTACTTTGATTTTATCTGTCTGTCTGTCTATTTAGTCTTCATGATCAATTCGCATTCTCAGTTTTGCAAGCATTGTAAACTTCTGTGTTTCTGCTCTTCATTTAATATCTCAATTTTTGTTGTATGTCTATTTAATTGTAGTATATATGGCCAAGTTCGTAGAGTATTCAAATGACGGGTTTTCCTGAAATGTTAAAATGCAATCCATTTTGCCATTCTTACATTTTGGTGTAGTTTTCAATATGTCTAGCAACAGAAGTTTTTTTTATCAGATGTATATAAGAAGCTTTGTTTCTTGTAAATCGGTAATACGAGTAATTCCTTCCGAATTGTAATTTTGCGTGTTACAAATATTTCACACTGGTCATTGTAAACAAACTATAAGTGTAGTGCTGTCTCATGCAGTTTGATTTTACTTGTATTTGTTAGGCGGTTCGACAGCGTCAAGTATCAATGGTGGATGGTCAAAAGGAAGACAAAAAGGCGATGATTGGGATAATTACTTCTCAGATCCTTTTAACCAGAAACCCAGGGATACCCAGGATTTGTCTGGCGTAGAAGACTTCTCAGTCAAGTCGCATAGCAAACAGCCTACAAGTTTATCGTCTTCAAAAGTTGAGACAAAATCAGACTCAAATGAATTCATCAAAAAGTTCGCCAATGCAACTTCGATATCATCGAATGCAGTTTTCGATCGAGAGGAGGTAAGTTTACCTGGAGGCCTACATTTCTAATTTGAATATGACATACTGGAAACTCACTTGATCTATAAGAGATTGATTTCAAACCGTAAGATTTCCGAAAAAGCAGTGGGTTTTTACTTTTTTTGCGGAAATCTTGCGCTCTTTTTCTAGTTTTAATCTTTTGAGAGTTCATTATGAAAATTTTGAAGGTTTACTAAGTTTTTAAAATCACGAAATTGAAACGCTTTTCTTGTTACCTTAAATAACAATGGCAAAATCTTCAGCATCAAGATTGTATTTTGTCGAATTATATGTGCACAAATGTATTCTTAGATTTTTTTTAACAACGAGACATAATTGTATTTCCACATAAACCGTTTATGTGTGGTACTCCAGCTTGATGGCAACAAACCTATCACAAGATTTTTTGCTGCTACATTAAACTACTTTGAACTGTACATTAGTCATCATATTACGAGTACTGGTTCATCTATACTTATCATTATGACCTTGAAAAGTGATTAGTGTCAGATAGGATGAAAATACCAGCAAATTTCTTTGAAAAATTGTGCAGGTGTATGCACTAGTCAGAATGCACATTCTTTACGATTTTCAGTCTTCTGTTCATGTTATATTACCAGCAAACCTTGTTTTATATCCCCGTCGCCACTTTTTAATAATCTTGTTGTCACCTGTTATATTCTTGTAATGACTACATGATATGACCTAAGTCCTGTAAATGTGCGGACGCTTGAACAGTAACCTTCAGATTTCACGTCTTGATGGTCGTTCAATTTTTTCGATAAATGGAAAAGGTGGTAATGTAATGAAGGTGTATTGGGATGTCAAAAATGTATACAAAATACAATATGTTTATATATATTTACAATGGCCTTGGCTATTTCCATGCCTTTCCAAATTTGAATCCTATTGATTTCTGTCATTTCAACCAATCTGATATTTACACGTCGGTTCACGTGGTTTCTCTTGAAACTTCGGGACAAAACGATTGGTTGGAAAAGGCTTCAGGAGCCTACGCCTTTTGATGAAGATTTTCGTAATCTTATTCCACAGTATAACAGTTCTACAAGAAATCTAGTTGTACAATGGATGGATTAGAACCTTCTCATCAACTTCGCTTAGCTTAGTAGAACACAGAAAGGAGTGTTTGTATTGAAAGTATTAACTTCAACCGCAGAGTGTGAATTGTGAATACACCATGATGACTTTGTATATAATTATGATATATTTCATTATAAGTATTACAACACGTAATCAAACTACCAGTCTGTTTGCTAAAGCCTTAATTATATTGCCTAGCTGTTAGTTATTTGCTTTGGCGAATTCTTTCATGTAGCTCCACTTTTTTCATAATTATTGGAATAAATAGTTTAATCATGCGTTCTATTAGGTGCATCGTTTTTGATGATTTGTTCAACGATCAGTAGTTCACCATTGAGCTACTCATATAAATCTGTATTGGTTTATAGTTATTTCTAGATAATATCTACAGTTTAGAAATGCGATTTAATTTCCGTGAATATATTTTAAGAAGATCTCTACAGATAATTTTTAACACGCTCAATAATTCAACTGTAATATTAAGTTTTGCTTTACGTTCATCGAGTTAAAATGGGATTCCCTTAACACTTTGTAGGATTAGTCATTCAGTGAACTGATACGATAATAACTATTTGTGCCTTTTCTAAGTACTCTATTCTGTAACTTTGACAATCTCTACAGTGGTCTGTTACTTGCTTGTATTTGAAATCAAAAGGCATATTTCGTCGTTTTTATAGTTCATGAAAGCACAAGCCTGTTGGTGTTCACTTTGAAACTGAATTCCAGGAGATAGTCTCATGTCACTATGTTATGCATCTGGCTGAGTATTTTCAATAACTACCGCTTGTTGTAAACGCATAATGGTTTTAAAAAGATTATTAAATTATTGTACTGGATAACCTCGCCTGGTTAACTAGTTTACTAGTTACTAGCCGGTCCTAAGCCCGGGTAAAGAGGGAAGGTTGGGCATAGGGCTAGCAACCCTACCCCGTAAAACAAATCTAACCGCTAAAGAAACTTCAAAGCACAAACAAAATATAAAAAATGAAAACAAACTCATTCCCCGCTGGAATCGGAGAGGCGAAATGACGCCACTTGGTGAAAGCCTTCGGGAAGCCAATTGGCCGATGTGTCTTCTCTCGATGAAAGCGAAAGTAAACGTGGGGACATGGAATGTCCGCACGATGTTTGAACCCAGTAAGGCAGCCCAGATTGCAAGGGAGATGAGAAGGTATAACATCGAAGTGCTTGGGATTTGCGAAAGCAGATGGAATGGGAGTGGACTCTCCAAACTGTCAACTGGAGAATCAATAATCTACTCCGGTCACCCAGACGCCAACCACGAGCACACTGAGGGAGTGGCTATCATGATGTCCTCAAGAGCATCGAAGGCTCTCATGCAGTGGGAACCAATCTCCTCCAGGATCATGACAGCAAGATTCAACTCAAAAGGAAGAAAGGTCACAATCATACAATGTTATGCACCTACAAATAATGCAGAGCAAGAGAAAAAGGAGGAATTCTACAGACAACTTCAATCAACACTGGACAAGACGTCAGTTGGCGATATCAAAATTCTAATGGGCGACATGAATGCCAAACTGGGAGGGGACAACACGGGAAGAGAACTAACCATGGGTCGAGAGGCGCTAGGTGAAATGAATGAGAATGGAGAATTGTTTGCAGAATTCTGTGCATTCAACGATTTGGTGATTGGAGGCAGTGTGTTCAGGCACAAAGATATCCACAAAGCGACATGGATTTCACCAGATGGACACACTAAAAATCAAATCGACTTTATCTCAATCTCAAGAAAATGGAGACGCAGTCTACTTAACACAAGGTCAAGAAGAGGAGCAGATGTAGGTTCAGACCACTATCTAGTGCAAGGAACCTTCCAAATCAAGTTAAAAGCCTTCAAGGAAGCTGGTGATAGACCTCAATTCAAGTACAACACTCGGAAACTGAAGGATGAAACTACAAAGGAAATCTTCAAGGCAGCCATCAAGAGAAAATGGGAGACATCGAGCAACATCCCTGAAGAAACCTGTGTGGAAGAACACTGGAAGTCTTTGAAAGCTATGTGGAAAGAAACCTGCACAACAGTATTAGGAAGGAAGAAGAAAGAAGACAAGGAATGGATCTCGACGGATACCTGGAAGCTGATAGAGGAGAGGAGGATGGTGAAGCAGAAGATAAACCAGTGCAAGGATGCTCAACGACAAGAGGAACTGAGCACAATGTATAAAACACTGGACAAAGAAGTGAAGAAGAGTGCACGCAAAGACAAAAGACACTTCTACGACACACTGGCAAGTGAAGCAGAACAGGCTGCAGGTAAGAGAGACCTGACGACATTGTATCAAATAACCAGGTTGCTATCAGGGAAGAGACCAACACAGATGAAACCAATAAAAGATGAAGAAGGAAATTTAATTACGAAAGAAGAGAAACAGAGGAAACGATGGGCCGACCACTTCAAGAAGCTCTTGAATCGACCACCACCTGCACTTCGTCCAGAAATACCACCTGCAGCCGCTGAACTACAAGTGAACATTAATCCCCCAACGAAAATGGAAGTCCTGAACGCCATAAAGCTACTGAAATGCGGGAAAGCAGCAGGACCAGATGGAATACCGCCAGAAGCACTGAGAACAGATGCAGAGACAACAGCGGACATGCTCACACCACTATTGCAGAAGGTGTGGAAGGAAGAGAAGGTACCTGACGATTGGAAGAAGGGTTACCTTGTCAAACTGCCGAAGAAGGGAGACCTCAGTGCTTGCAAGAACTGGCGCGGAATCACTCTCCTGTCCACCCCAAGTAAAATATTAAGCCGCATCATCCTGGAGAGGCTAAGGGATGCACTGGATTCAAAACTACGACCGGAACAGGCAGGCTTCAGGAAGTACAAATCATGTGCAGACCAAATTGCAACGCTACGCATCATCATAGAACAGAGCATAGAATGGCAATCAGCTCTCTACCTCAACTTCATCGACTTTGAGAAGGCCTTTGACAGCGTCGACCGAGAAGTAATTTGGAAACTGCTTCAATACTACGGAGTACCGCAAACCTTTATCCGCCTCATTCAACAACTATATGAAGATGCCACATGCCAAGTAATCCACAATGGGAAGCTCAGTGATGCCTTTGAAGTGAAGACAGGAGTGAAACAAGGTTGCCTACTATCCCCCATGATATTCCTTATTGTGGTGGACTGGATCATGCAGCAAACAGTAGGCAGCGAGAAGAGGGGGATACACTGGACGACGGAAAAGAACCTAGAAGACTTGGATTTCGCCGATGACTTATGCCTAATGTCACACAAACTTGAAGATCTGCAGGCAAAAACTAACAAGTTGACAGAAGAGGCAGCGAAGACGGGACTTCAGGTGAATATAGAGAAGACAGAAGTGATGAAGATACCGCACCACCACCATCAACAACAACAACAAACTCCAATCACCGTCAACGGGAGAAACTTGAAGGAAGTAACCTCCTTCACTTATCTAGGAAGCACTGTTTCAACTACAGGCGGGACGGACGAGGACGTCAAAGTCAGAATCGGAAAAGCAAGACAGGCGTTCATTAGCCTGAAACCAGTGTGGAGATCTTCTGCACTCAGCATGCGGAACAAGATACGGATTTTCAACACCAACGTCAAGTCAGTGCTCTTGTATGGCTCAGAGACTTGGCGCGTCACGAAAGGTATTTCCAATAAACTACAGACATTCATCAACAACTGCTTACGCTCGCTACTGAAGATCAGATAGCCAGAAAGAATAAGCAACAAGGAACTCTGGGAACGAACCAACCAAGAACCTATCACCCAACAAATATGCAGGAAGAAGTGGAGATGGATTGGCCATGCACTGAGAAGGCCGACTGAGGACATCACGCGTCAGGCCCTCGAGTGGAATCCCCATGGGAAGCGACGAGTTGGACGTCCGAGGGTGACATGGAGGAGGTCGTGCGAGCAGGAAATGAGAGCTTGTGGGCTGTCGTGGGACCAGGTTCAAAAGATCTCAGAGAACAGAGGTCACTGGAGGCGTGCTACTGAAGCCCTATGTTCCACTAGGAACCCAAGGGACTAATAATAATATATAATAATAATGGATACGTCGTCCATGTATTCAGCAAGATTTTATCATTCAAATGTAGGAAGGAGGATCTCACTCCGTTTTAAATGAATATAATCAGTATGAGTTGACTTCTTAGCTTATAATTTTAAATGTAATATAATAATAATAGTAATAATAATAATAATGTAATATATCTCAATTATTTATTCCATCAAAATACTATTCGGAAGTGAATTTTATTGCAAAGATACTAATAGTTATTTAATCATAAATTTTTCAGTTAGTTTATCATATAAATTGATTTGGTATTATGTTTTGATCAGGTGTAATTTTTTTTTCTTTTGATTTTGGAAGGGGAATATATCTATCGTTTGTTTATTCACTTCTTTATTTATCAATTATACTAGTCTGAATCTGACGGACTCTCAAGATTCCAAGGAAGTTCATCAATTTCTAGTGATGATTACTTTGGAAGATCTAAAATGAAACAGTCTCCAGTATCTAATGAACTACAAAATATCAAAGATGGTGTGAAGCAGAGCGGCACTAAAGTTGCTGGACGATTGTCGAACCTAGCAACTGACGTCGTTCATACACTTCAGGTGGGTTGAACATAACATTACTTGAATGTATTATGAGTTTCGGCAATTAAAATCTTTCTTATCATAGGCAGATTCGTTCCTAAGAAACACCAAACCAATGGTTGATATCTTGACATAATAGTCTGCTTGTATATCACAGTGACCATCGAGCTTTACTGGTGAAATGCTTGTTCCCTCGAGGTCCTACCATACCAGAAGGGTTTGTTAAATAGTGGTAAGGTGAAATGTAGTTACCGTTGTAGTGTGACTCGCTACACTATGATGAGGGCCCGGGGACAAAGTCGTGCTTCAGGCTGGATGAGATGTAACGACAATAAGATGTTTCCTTTTGATGACCTGCACTTCCACGCTGATGCTGCCTTCCCTACGGAAAAAGGCAGGTTAGAAAATGCCCGCCCTAAATGGCGCTCTCCTCTACTCTGCCGCGTGGAGGTGCCAGCGATATGGATTCATAATTGGGCTCACAAAAAACAAAATTATATCTTAAACTTCTAAAAATGTTATATGCGACCGGCCTCAAGCAGATGTCCCTGGGGTCACACACTAGCCTCTCTTTCCCACGGGAGTCATCAAGAAGAGCCGGTCTTCTGCGGTTTGAGGAACCAGGAAGTGTTAACCTCCTTTACTGCTCTGTCAGTACTCAATTCCCCTCAGATCATCATCAGTCACATATACGCCACATACAAGCCTCTCTACCAACACGACTGCTTCATTTCTAATTTCTTAAAGCTTTGCAGCTCTTGAAAAAGATCTGAGTTCACGGAATGGGGTCACTGATCTCCTGAAACCGCGCTTCAAACTGTACATTGGAGATTTAGTGTTAGCTTATCACATCAAATTGGATGAAAAGCTTCGCTAACCAAAACTCTAGCAACTCACTCCATGGATGTATGTTGTGTTTAAGAGATACACATGCAGCACTCAAGGGTGATTATTCACCTAACCTCACCTATTATTATTATATTATTTGTCCCTTGGGTTTCCTAATGGAACATAGGGATTCAGTAGCACGTCTCCAGTACACTCTGTCCTCTGAGATCTTTTGAACCTGGCTCCACAACAGCCCAGAAGCTCTCATATCCTCCTCGCACGATCTCCTCCATGTCACCCTCGGACGTCCAACTCGTCCCTTCCCATGGAGGTTCCACTCGAGTGACTGGCCTGACGCGTGATGTCCCCAGTCGGCCTTTTCAGTGCATGGCCAATCCATCTCCACTTCTTCCTGCATATTTGTTGGGTGATAGGTTCTTGGTTGGTTCGTTCCCAGAGTTCCTTGTGCTTATTCTTTCTGGCTATCTGATCTTCAGTAGCGAGCGTAAGCAGTTGTTGATGAATGTCTGTAGTTTATTGGAAATACCTTTCGTGACGCGCCAAGTCTCTGAGCCATACAAGAGCACTGACTTGACTGGGTTGGTGTTGAAAATCCGTATCTTGTTCCGCATGCTGAGTGCAGGAGATCTCCACACTGGTTTCAGGCTAATGAACGCCTGTCTTGCTTTTCCGATTCTGACTTTGACATCCTCGTCCGTCCCGCCTGTAGTTGAAACAGTGCTTCCTAGATAAGTGAAGGAGGTTACTTCCTTCAAGTTTCTCCCGTTGACGGTGATTGGAGTTTGTTGTTGTTGTTGATGGTGGTGGTGCGGTATCTTCATCACTTCTGTCTTCTCTATATTCACCTGAAGTCCCGTCTTCGCTGCCTCTTCTGTCAACTTGTTAGTTTTTGCCTGCAGATCTTCAAGTTTGTGTGACATTAGGCATAAGTCATCGGCGAAATCCAAGTCTTCTAGGTTCTTTTCCGCAGTCCAGCCGCGTATCCCCTCTTCTCGCTCCTCACGGTTGTCTGTTGCATGATCCAGTCCACCACAATCAGGAATATCATAGGTGATAGTAGGCGGCAGCCTTGTTTTACTCCTGTCTTCACTTCAAAAGCATCACTGAGCTTCCCATTGTGAATTACTTGGCAAGTGGCGTATTCACATAGTTGTTGAATGAAATTGACAAAGGTTTGCGGTATTCTGTAGTGTTGAAGCAGTTTCCAAATTACCTCTCGGTCGACGCTGTCAAAGGCCTTCTCAAAGTCGATGAAGTTGAGGTAGAGGGTTGTGAAATCCACACTCATATTTCTAGAGATTCGAAGACTAATCCTCGTGATCCTTCACCTGTAGGTGTAACACTAAGTGGTAAAGCATAAAGCGTACGGACCCACTGGACCGCAGTTGACAGTCTCCTGCGAGTTTTTTTGATCGGATGTTGCGGCGGGGAATCAAAACAGTAGTGAGACTTGTTGATTTTTGTAATCTGTTCCCACCCACCTGGCGACTGGAGTTTAAATACAATGAAAGATGAGTTCTGTCTAGTCTTCCATTAAAAGCCAAACTTGCGTATGTGTTTATCGTACCAGGTGATTTCAATAAACAAGTGGGTAGATTGATTTGGACAGTGAGGCATATTAGTGACACTTTCAAAATGCCAACGGAAAGGACGGATTATGAGGATCGTCTGCTAAGAATGAGTTCGGTGAACCACAAATGTCTGGCCACCACAAACTTCAGCCTCATAGACAGTTGTTGTTTGAATGAAGTGACAAATCCAGACGTCAACTAAGTGGTGAACGTAGATCGGTGGCATATGTCTTAGTTATCTCTGTAGACGGTAGGTAAAAGATTACCGCTCCTCCCAGAACACATATTTGTACAGCTATCATGCATTGGATTGAGTAAGTTTGTGTCTGCAACTATTTGGACGTAGAAAAACCTGATCAATAACACCATTGAGAGTGCTTCTGGTTAATGAGAACCCTAAAGGTTCTTACAGCGACAAGCTGGCTAGGTAGTTATCGGAACAGAGCAACACCATTCATTCAGAAACGTGGCGCCACCTCTAGTCTGCTGTAGAACACTGCTGAGAAACTTAGCTAACTTTCAAAACGTGGTGAGAAGGGCCCACTAGATTTCAGAACTCTTTTCTCGATTGATAGATACACACTAACGCATCCCTACAGGCCTTGAGCAACCCAAATGAAGGCTGACAGAAAGTTTATAGAATGACTGTGAAGTGGTGGGCAGCGAATGCTAAAGAGATGGAAAACTCAGCATTGATAGGTAACAGTAGACGGTTAGACTTATCAAGGAAACCTGGGCGGAAAAGTCAGTGGTGCGTGTGAATGCAGCGGACAAGGATGCTTCTATGATTTCCTCGTAGGCAAGACTGCTGGATTGATTGGCGAAATACTTGGAGGAACATTTCAAGTGGTCTCCAATTCCTGTGCCGTTTCCCGCTATCCGGTTATTGCGTGAATAACCTTTATTATAAGGCCTCCAACTCTTGAATAAGTTTGAAATAAGGAGGGAGCGTAGGAGGGTCAGACGAGCTGGTACCAGAGTTATTTTCGGACGGTATTCGTGGTTTGTTGCTTAGACTCACTCAAGTGTCAACTAGCGAATGAGGATCAAATGTGACCCCCGCTAACTGATTTTAGTTCCTAACTGTCTTAGCCTTCAAGAAGGGAGAAATCTTCCTGCGATAACCACAGGACAATAAGCCTGACGAACATAGTGTCTAAGATGCTATGATCATTGGATGTCTGAGTGCAGCTCGGGAACAGAAAACTAGAGGAAACCAGGCAGAATGTAGACCTAGCCTATGGTGTATCGACAAGATACTCAGATATGGCATGGGACAACTTGAACCGTCATGCAGGAATGCCTTGTCGTATGTTGATCTTATCTCTATGTCTATTCTAAAAAGCTATGCATTGTGTTGAGTATTGCAATCGAATCTTTCATCTTAAATAAAACATTTTTATACAGGGAGATGGTGTTCGCACTATTTTTATGGCTGAATAGTTATCGATTTGTTGAAAGATTCATATGCAGGTTAGTGGGAGAAAACTGGGGATTTTTCGAAGCTTGTCATTGTTAGCTTTGCTTTTTAACAAACTTAATATATCAAGACCTCATGTTTATTAGAAACATTTCCACCTTGAAAAATGATTGTATGCACTTCTAATCACATTAAATTCGATTTTAAATGCACTTTTCATTTCCATAGCTGTACATTGAAAAAAGTTATTAAAGCTGTTGAAATGCAACTAACTTGGCAGTTTGAAAAATACTCACAAAGTTGCACTGTACTTGCCTGTATTATTATTATTATTATTAGTCCCTTGGGTTCCTAGTGGAACATAGGGCTTCAGTAGCACGCCTCCAGTGACCTCTGTTCTCTGAGATCTTTTGAACCTGGTCCCACGACAGCCCACAAGCTCTCATTTCCTGCTCGCACGACCTCCTCCATGTCACCCTCGGACGTCCAACTCGTCGCTTCCCATGGGGATTCCACTCGAGGATGGCCTGACGCGTGATGTCCTCAGTCGGCCTTCTCAGTGCATGGCCAATCCATCTCCACTTCTTCCTGCATATTTGTTGCGTGATAGGTTCTTGGTTGGTTCGTTCCCAGAGTTCCTTGTTGCTTATTCTTTCTGGCCATCTGATCTTCAGCAGCGAGCGTAAGCAGTTGTTGATGAATGTCTGTAGTTTATTGGAAATACCTTTCGTGACGCGCCAAGTCTCTGAGCCATACAAGAGCACTGACTTGACGTTGGTGTTGAAAATCCGTATCTTGTTCCGCATGCTGAGTGCAGAAGATCTCCACACTGGTTTCAGGCTAATGAACGCCTGTCTTGCTTTTCCGATTCTGACTTTGACGTCCTCGTCCGTCCCGCCTGTAGTTGAAACAGTGCTTCCTAGATAAGTGAAGGAGGTTACTTCCTTCAAGTTTCTCCCGTTGACGGTGATTGGAGTTTGTTGTTGTTGTTGATGGTGGTGGTGCGGTATCTTCATCACTTCTGTCTTCTCTATATTCACCTGAAGTCCCGTCTTCGCTGCCTCTTCTGTCAACTTGTTAGTTTTTGCCTGCAGATCTTCAAGTTTGTGTGACATTAGGCATAAGTCATCGGCGAAATCCAAGTCTTCTAGGTTCTTTTCCGTCGTCCAGTGTATCCCCCTCTTCTCGCTGCCTACTGTTTGCTGCATGATCCAGTCCACCACAATAAGGAATATCATGGGGGATAGTAGGCAACCTTGTTTCACTCCTGTCTTCACTTCAAAGGCATCACTGAGCTTCCCATTGTGGATTACTTGGCATGTGGCATCTTCATATAGTTGTTGAATGAGGTGGATAAAGGTTTGCGGTACTCCGTAGTATTGAAGCAGTTTCCAAATTACTTCTCGGTCGACGCTGTCAAAGGCCTTCTCGAAGTCGATGAAGTTGAGGTAGAGAGCTGATTGCCATTCTATGCTCTGTTCTATGATGATGCGTACAAAGCGTTGCAATTTGGTCTGCACATGATTTGTACTTCCTGAAGCCTGCCTGTTCCGGTCGTAGTTTTGAATCCAGTGCATCCCTTAGCCTCTCCAGGATGATGCGGCTTAATATTTTACTTGGGGTGGACAGGAGAGTGATTCCGCGCCAGTTCTTGCAAGCACTGAGGTCTCCCTTCTTCGGCAGTTTGACAAGGTAACCCTTCTTCCAATCACTAGCCAGGTACCTTCTCTTCCTTCCACACCTTCTGCAATAGTGGTGTGAGCATGTCCGCTGTTGTCTCTGCATCTGTTCTCAGTGCTTCTGGCGGTATTCCATCTGGTCCTGCTGCTTTCCCGCATTTCAGTAGCTTTATGGCGTTCAGGACTTCCATTTTCGTTGGGGGATTAATGTTCACTTGTAGTTCAGCGGCTGCAGGTGGTATTTCTGGACGAAGTGCAGGTGGTGGTCGATTCAAGAGCTTCTTGAAGTGGTCGGCCCATCGTTTCCTCTGTTTCTCTTCTTTTGTAATTAAATTTCCTTCTTCATCTTTTATTGGTTTCATCTGTGTTGGTCTCTTCCCTGATAGCAACCTGGTTATTTGATACAATGTCGTCAGGTCTCTCTTACCTGCAGCCTGTTCTGCTTCACTTGCCAGTGTGTCGTAGAAGTGTCTTTTGTCTTTGCGTGCACTCTTCTTCACTTCTTTGTCCAGTGTTTTATACATTGTGCTCAGTTCCTCTTGTCGTTGAGCATCCTTGCACTGGTTTATCTTCTGCTTCACCATCCTCCTCTCCTCTATCAGCTTCCAGGTATCCGTCGAGATCCATTCCTTGTCTTCTTTCTTCTTCCTTCCTAATACTGTTGTGCAGGTTTCTTTCCACATAGCTTTCAAAGACTTCCAGTGTTCTTCCACACAGGTTTCTTCAGGGATGTTGCTCGATGTCTCCCATTTTCTCTTGATGGCTGCCTTGAAGATCTCCTTTGTAGTTTCATCCTTCAGTTTCCGAGTGTTGTACTTGAATTGAGGTCTATCACCAGCTTCCTTGAAGGCTTTTAACTTGATTTGGAAGGTTCCTTGCACTAGATAGTGGTCTGAACCTACATCTGCTCCTCTTCTTGACCTTGTGTTAAGTAGACTGCGTCTCCATTTTCTTGAGATTGAGATAAAGTCGATTTGATTTTTAGTGTGTCCATCTGGTGAAGTCCATGTCGCTTTGTGGATATCCTTGTGCCTGAACACACTGCCTCCAATCACCAAATCGTTGAATGCACAGAATTCTGCAAACAGTTCTCCATTCTCATTCATTTCACATAGTGCCTCTCGACCCATGGTTAGTTCTCTTCCCGTGTTGTCCCCTCCCAGTTTGGCATTCATGTCGCCCATTAGAATTTTGATATCGCCAACTGACGTCTTGTCCAGTGTTGATTGGAGTTGTCTGTAGAATTCCTCCTTTTTCTCTTGCTCTGCATTATTTGTAGGTGCATAACATTGTATGATTGTGACCTTTCTTCCTTTTGAGTTGAATCTTGCTGTCATGATCCTGGAGGAGATTGGTTTCCACTGTATGAGAGCCTTCGATGCTCTTGAGGACATCATGATAGCCACTCCCTCAGTGTGCTCGTGGTTGGCGTCTGGGTGACCGGAGTAGATTATTGATTCTCCAGTTGACAGTTTGGAGAGTCCACTCCCATTCCATCTGCTTTCGCAAATCCCAAGCACTTCGATGTTATACCTTCTCATCTCCCTTGCAATCTGGGCTGCCTTACTGGGTTCAAACATCGTGCGGACATTCCATGTCCCCACGTTTACTTTCGCTTTCATCGAGAGAAGACACATCGGCCAATTGGCTTCCCGAAGGCTTTCACCAAGTGGCGTCATTTCGCCTCTCCGATTCCTGCGGGGAATAAGTTTGTTTTCATTTTTTATATTTTGTTTGTGCTTTGAAGTTTCTTTAGCGGTTAGATTTGTTTTACGGAGTAGGGTTGCTAGCCCTATGCCCAACCTTCCCTCTTTACCCGGGCTTAGGACCGGCTAGTAACTAGTAAACTAGTTAACCATACGGGGTTGTACTTGCCTGTACACCTTATAAATGAGTAACATTTCGTATCCCAGCAGAAAAATGTCAACATGAGCTGTTCCACTTGAGAATACTGTTGGAATCCTATAGTCATTTCATGTTTCAATAGTTTTGCGGCAGTTGCTGAATTCGTAAAGTGATATCATTATTGCTCTAGGTTATGAAATGAAAAGGAAATAGTCTCAGTTCACTGTGTTGTGCCTGATTTCTTGCTACTTCATTGAAAGTGCTTGTAAGGAAACGAAGAATGGTTAAAATAACAGTATCAATGAGACTTTCTGATAGAATTCCCTAATGTCATTAGACATGAATTACCTCAGCTTACGCACTGTTGAGAGTTTATCGATATCTGTTCACACACCTGTTGGGTTTGACTCACAAGGCTTGAATTTTACTCAGGTGGATCTATTTGTATTACACTGGAAAGGGTAATGGTTGGTTAGTGTAAGTTCTCGCCATTACTGGCTGTTGTTCATTGCAATTTATTACACTAGAAGTTTTGCTGAACCATGTAAGACATTCACGAGACTATATTGACAATTAATTGCTGGTTTTGCCTCAAATGATCTAATAGTTCTATAAACGAAATCCTGGAAAAAATCGTCACAAATGCGTATACTATCTATCCTAAATTTTAAAATTAATACTTTTCATATGGTCACAAAGCAAACGTAGGTATGGTGAGCCTGCCTTTGAACACACGGACTATACATAAATTTCATGTTCGCTTTATTTCTTCCTATAACTTCCAATCAGTTGGCATTTGTGAATAATTAATTTAAACGTTAATATTAAGCTTGTTCATTGTTCAAGTTTAAGGTAATAGCATCTAAGAAGGCGAAGTTCAATAGCAAAAGTTTATCAGATATCACACACCAGGTTTTTGCAGTGCTAGTAAGGAGACCTATCAAAGTTCAACGATTTAGTTGTTTGATTCTACATTAGACCTAGAACAAAATTAAATGGCAAAGAATCAACGTGTATTCGGTTATAATGAATAAATATGAAAACGAGAACTCGGCAACTAAATAAAACAACCATAAAATGTGATATTAAAAGTCAGTCATTGCTAGAAGTTCTCAATTAATATTAAACGGAAATAAACAAGAACCAGAAAAAATAAGTTTAACGCGTCATTACAACGGTCAGCGTTTGACTTAGCTAACCACTTACCTTCGTAGGCGGTGAATTCAGTGGATCTCAAAATGGGACGTGTAGTTTCTTTGACACGATCCAACTTGCCACATCTTAACTCCACTTTCAAGGTAGCAAGATGAAAGATGAAGAAGTAAGAGAACTTAGTCAAAAGTCCTCAGAAAAGATAACAAAGAGGTCAAGCAGATTTTTTACTCAACCAGAGGATATCGATACTCGTTCAATAGTGAGAATAGAATATCCTTTTATTGTATGCAGCAGGTTTACTCCTTCAGATTCTATTAGTCAAAGTTGTCGATGATTTATTATTTTCTCTTAATGAATATTGCCATAGACGACTAGTGAGAAAATCTTCAATATACTCAGCAACGTACACGTTGTTTTACAAGTTACTCATATTGCATAGAATTTTAAACCTTTTTAAGAACAGTATGATTACCTGTTATAACTCAGTTGTTAAGTGTGGATTACTTAAGTTAATGATACGCATCTTATCAGCTATCAGTTGATAATCATTGGTTAGCTGTATCGTCTTGTTTCTTGATGAGAATAGCATGTAATATTTATGTTATTCCATGAATCTAGGCCAATCTAATCACTGCAGTAATTCACTTATTGTCTTTCTTTCAGGACAGGTTCGGTTAATTATACAACATGTGGTGCTCCTGATCAATTTGTGATCTTCCTATTCTACATTTAATTTGACTGTCAATCTTCTTTTCGGTTTACCTTCGCAATCCAGGACCTTTTGTTTCCTCTGGCTGTGTTTACCTTTTGCTGAATTCACAATTTGTCTTTGTTTTCTTTTCTCTTCCAAGCTATTTTGTTGTTGTACTGCAGTAAACGTACCTAACTGTGAGTACCACGACATATATTTCTCATGATCGTTGATATTAAATACAGGCTGTATGAACCTGAAGATTTGATTGATGTTCAAGCAAACTATGTTGTGTAAATTGTTTACTGTTCTTGTTATTTGCTTTCTGACACCAGTGATCTAATTTTTTTTGATTCATTTTGATGTTTATTATGAAAGTTACAGTTAATTGGTTTTCTGTATGAATGGAGTAGTTTGTACATTGAACACTAAATTCTGGTTTCTGATGTCAGCGCAATTCGCATGTCTGTAGAATAAATGGGAGATTGGCACATTCGTTTTTTGTATTCCTGGCTATGGTTATTCTAGTAGCAAAGTGAACTCATTTCTTGCCGAGGAAGAGGATATATTAGGATATCTGCAGATGTATTTGCAATAGGCTCGCTGAGGCCTTAATGAAAATTGTTTCTACAAATCCCCTATTTTTTCACTTAGTTGAAGCACAGTGTGTATTCCTTGGTTGTATTGTGTTCTCTGAGCTGCGTTGTTTAATCATGGAGCTTTCATCGTCTTTTTAGACGACATCAGCGCCAACTTGTATTGACTTTATAGTGAAGTTGGCGCTGTTGATCTCATCTTAAAAGACGATGAAAACTCTATGATAGAAAAAACGCAGCTCAGAGAACACAATACAAACAAGGTCATCCACCTGAGCTACAAATATTCTCCACAGTATATAATTGAATCGCGTCAATTTATTTTTTATCAGGATGGAATTATAGCATGAAAAAAATTTTAGTTCACTGAAAGCGCATAACTTTTTAAAGTATTGTCCTAAAATTATTTTGTTAACTTGTAGTATTCGATGTTGGTCTCAGGTAATATCGGTCAATTGTATGTGAGTTACGATGATACTTCTTTGTTACGTTTAAATCAACACAGTGTTACAAACTGCAGTAATACAAGATTCTGTGTGTTATTCATGAGCCAATTACGACTTCCTCCATCACTCGCTCAGTTAATACCACGAAGAAAACACTATTGGATTTAAGGAAATATGAAATATGAGGACGACTTTATTTTTCGTATGCACTGAAAAGCCCGTATGGGAGACAAATAAATCAACTTTTTTTAAAGTAGAAAACAATCAAGAGTTTAACGCCATTTAAAGTGACAAAAGAAAGTAGTGCATGGAAGGAAGAAATTAGCGTAAAAACGAGAAATCCAAATTTCATCGGGTAAATTTTACAAAATATAAACAAGCGTTAATTCTTTTAGATCGCTGTTGACTTCGATTCTGAGCCACATCCAACCAACCGTGGTTTAGTCTGGCCACTCCGAGCCTTTTCCCAGCCAGAACATCCTCCAGCTAGCATTGCAGGATAATGCATACGGTGACTAGTCATGCGTAGCACATGTCTCAACCACCGCTGTCGAAGGAGGTTCACGATCTTATCAACTGACTTCCCTCTTAGAATTTCACACCTACTTTCTGCGTTACTCACATGGTAACACTATGAGACACGGCTTATGATACGATGACGATGGTGGAACTCCAGCAGCCTCATATTCTGTTATGGTCATGTTTCACAGTCGTATGATTGAACAGAGTAAACTGCAACGCAGTGCGCTGGATTCTTAATAGATAGTCAGATATTGCGGCTGCACCACAGATGGCTTATGTTGAGAACAGCCATCCCATTCATTCGTATCCGTGCAGAGATTTCTAGGGTCACTCACCCACCAGGCCTGATCCGACTTCCCAGGTAAGTGAAGTGGTCAACACGCTCAACCAACTCACCGTCTATTTGTTGGCGAAGCACCACTAAAGACCAGTCCTGGAGCAGCAGTTTGCATTTTGTGACGAGACACATCCCAAACATTCTGAAATTGCAACTCATGGTTTCCAGAAGACTCTTCACACTTCGATGTATATTGCTCACCTGAAAAGTCACGATAGGCTTTAACACACCGGCGGCCCGACCAACAGCTGCTACACGAACACGATGGTAGGACTTGGATATTACAATGACCTGACGAGCTATACTGGTGGAGTACTTGTCCTCTCGAAGTCATACCATATCACGAAGGTCTGTTGGATGGATAGTGGTAAGGCGAACAGCAGTTACCATTGTAGTGTAAGTTACTACACTGTGGTGGAGGTCTGAGAGCGAAGTGGTTTCGCTGCTAGTTGGATAAAGTGTGAGGGCGGTTTATTGTTCCCCTTTGGTGATCAGCAGTGCCACGCTGATGCTACATTCACAACGGGAAGCGGGGCGCTAGAAAACGTTGACTGCAGAAATAGTACACTACTCCCTTCCCCGCGGTTATCCGGTATCAGCGGTATGGGTTTTCTTTATCCAGCCATAGAACAGTCACATCTAACACCAACAATCTTAGTAAGGCAATTAGTGACGGGCGACAAAAAAGGTGTCCCTTGCAGTTACTCGAATCTTTTTATCATCAGATACCACTTTAAGAAATAGTCTTCAGTGGTGTAGACGGTTAGGGGTATAGGCCGCCTGCACGCTTCCAGTATTACACAAGAACCACTAGAACATAGCCTATCCGCGTCAGCTACTCCCGCTCCAGCTCTTCATACTACTGTTAAATACCTTGCACCTTCCCCAACCCTCATTTTGCCACCAATGTCAAAGATCAAAGCCATAGAAAACACTGTTCGAAAATAGAGCGCTGCTGAACCTAGCATTATGCGAATACCCGTAACAAGGATTCATATCCCCTTTCAATGCAAAAACAAAAATCTCAAAATTGGCAAAAAGCAGTGCATAATTGGCCTCAAGTAGATGTCCCTTGGGCTCTGTAGTCAGACACTACCAATTCTTTCCCAGGTGCATCAAGAAAAACTAGTTTTCTATGACCCAGGCAGTTGGAAGCGTCAACTGCCTGCACCCTTCCAGTATTACACAAGACCCAATCAAACATAACCTGTCCCCATCAACTCCTTCCCCACCAGCTCTTCATACTACTTGTAAATTCCTTGCACGTTCCCCAACCTCTCGTTTTGCCATCATTGTCAAAGATCAAAGCCAAAGAAAACTCTGTCCTAGTCTCCAAAGAACGCACCATCGACTTCATGCAGCAGCTTTCAACGTCCGAACTCTATGCCAAATCAGACAGCAGGCATCGCTCACCAGAACTCTGAAGTCTTTAGATGTGGATATGTCGTGTGTCTCTGAGACACGTATACGGAATCCGAGTGTGGTTATTCATTTGGCGTTACCTGTCCATATTAGTGAGTGTTCAAATTTCCCAGTGGTTAGCTTTCGTGAACTCGCCTGTTTGGGGACAGCATTGAGTTATGTATCAGAGAGTGCACTTCTCGACTGCATACCAGTAAACAGGGGTATGTGTGTTGTTCGACGGGATGGATCTATAATGACTAGGAAGGATTGTCAGGCCACCCGATGCTTGTTGGTGATCTCCACCCACGCACCCATCGAGTGCAGTCCGAATGATGCAAAGGATGAATTCTACGGGAAGCTGTCAACGTGCTATGGAGAGCAAACCATTCAGATGTAGTTATAATGGTCAAGTAGGGAAGCTGAGGTGATCCGATGGGCAAAGCACCTCGTTGGTATTTGCCGCGTCCTATGCCAAAGAAACGACGACGGCGATCGTGTGTTGGAATTTTGTTCCGACAGTCACTTGTTTCTGGTCAGCACTGGTTTTGAGCATAAGGAGATACCCTATCTTACATGGTGTCGGCCGACATGAAAGCAACGATGGACACGCATGAATCATATTACTGTAAGCCATCGTCGAAGTGGATCGGTGGAGGATTGTCGCTGTTTCTGGAGTCCCAGTTTTAACTGTGTTCACGCGGTAGTGTGGGCTTGTTTATATCTCGACGTTGCTGGTTACAGGAAACAGGCGATAGTAAAGCCTGTCTATGTTCGATTATAAGATGGAGATGCCAAATATGCATTGAGAGAGGAGTTAGCTAGGTATTTATCTGAAGATGACAGGAATGCTGATCGTGATGAAATCTGGTGTATTATTCAGTCTGGTGTGGAGACAGTGTTAAAGACAGTTGGTCACCTACACCCGAAGGTGTAGGATTTCTGCAACATCATCCTAACTGATTGATGCTGGAGGACTGATTGCAGCTAGCTCTGAGTATGATGAAGAGTGAAAGCAAGTGAAATGTAAGTTGATGAAGAGTCTTCGCAATGATGGCGAGCAGTGGTGATTGTCGCGAGTGAGAGAAATGAAGAAGGCATGATTGTTAGGCAACACCGAGTAACTGTTAAGTCTTATTAAGGATACCGGGAATAAGAGGATGATGTTGAGTGAAAGGAGTAGCGAGAAGGATGGTATCTTGATAAAGTGTCACTACTGCAGGTGGCTTGAATGTTGGGTTGGACAGTTTGAAGCCGAGTTCAACTGGGCAACAGCAACGCTTCAAATGCCCAACATCCAGTCTGAACCCGAATAGGACTGAGATGTGGGTCGTCGAAATTTCTTTGTTGTTGAGACGTTTTTATGGGATCTGAGAGGATGCAAAGCAGCACGACCTGGCAGTTTGTCGCGTGATGTTTCTAAGGCTGGATGTAGGGAATTGCTAACTAAAGTGACGGTGTTACTAGGTAAGGTAGTATGTGGGAATCCTGAGTAGGGGCGTCAGACTGGTCTAGTTCACTGATCATCGCAGTCTACAAGAAGTGGGAGAAATCTTCCTGTGATAACCGTGGGGGACAAATGTGAGGCTGTTTGCAATAAGTTGTCTGGATGTTTTACACGGAAGTCTGGTGCGAGCATGTTCAGGGGAGTAATCAAAATCTACAATATCATAGATGTATATAAC